TTAGTTTTTGTGTCGTTAAGGTTGTATATCATATGACATAACTTTTTTTTATTATCTGCGTTGTAAGGGTATAGTCTCATTGACGTTTATGCCACATCTTTTTCTGTTTGAGTACTGTGTCCATGGCGAATATGGAGGAGGGGTGGGTTTGTTGGAAATGAATTTTGGGGGCGGCTTATGGACGTCTATGCCACCATTTTCACTACTTGCGTTGTACGTATACTGCCTTTTTTCATTCCTAAGTCACATTTTCACTATTTGTTTTGTAAGGGTATTCTTTCATTGCCACATTGTTGTTTTATTATTTATGTCGTCAGTGTACTGTGTCATTCACGTATATGACACATACTCTTTAAAGATCTGTGTAGCTTGGGTATATTTTCTAGACGTTAATGTCACATCTCTTTCATTCGCGTCGTTAGGGTTCTGTCTTAACGACGAATATGCCATGTTTTCATTAATTGCGTTGTTATGAAACTGTCTCGATGACACATAAGACTTTTTTACAATTTGCTGTCTCAGGGTACTCTCTCATTGACGTAGAAGCCACATCTTTTTGTTTTATTATTGGCCTCGTATGACACATTTTGTCATTATTTGTGTCGTTTGAGTTCTGTTTTCCTGACAAATATGCCACATTTGTGTTAATTTTTGTATGTGCACTGTACTGTATCCCTGACGGATATGCACTTTATTACCATTTGTATCGTTGAAGAACTGTGTCATTGATTTACACGGCACCTCTTGTTTGTCGTTTGTGTTGTTCGGTACTGTATCCTTGACCGTAATGCCACATTTTCTTTATTTGTGTTGTTAGGGTACTGTCTCAGCATTGACGGTTATGCCACATCTTTCTTGTATTATTGTTTCGTCAGGGCATGGTCTGTTGACCTATATGCTATATTTTTTTTCGCGTCGTTAAGGTACTGTCACATTGACAAATATGCCACAACTTATGTTTGATTTGTATCATAGGAGTACTATGTCAAAAGATATATACGAAACATTCTATTTCAGTATTTATTTCAAAAACCTATATGCCACAACATTGTTTTTATTATTTGTGTCGTTTGAGTTATGTGAAATATGTGCCACACCATTTTACTGTCTTTGGAGTACTGTCTTATTGTCATTAATATCACAGTATTCAACAACTTGCGTCGTTAGTGTACTTTCTTGTTGGCGAAAATGCCACAGTTTTTTTATCATAAGTGTCGTTGGTCTACTGTCTCATTGACGTATTTAACACATTTTAAAAAACATGATTTGTTATTGGAGTAACGTCTTATTCCGTATATGCAACCTTTTTTAATTATTTTTGTCTTTGGGGTACTCTTTGTCCAGCGTATATGTAATATTTTCTTCTCTTACCTCATTCACTATTTGTGTTGTGAGGATACTGTATCGCTGATGCACAGAAATGTAAATGCCACTTTTTACACTAGTTTGAACATGTTTAATGTAATGATACTTTCTCATTGACAAAAATGACACAAGTTTTTTTATTATTTGCGTCGTGGGAGTATGATGTCAGTAGGTTTAATGCAACATATTTTCCGACTTTGTTTCGCCAGATACTGTCCTGTTAACATCGTTTAACTGTGCTGGTTGTACAAGTACGCAGCAACGTCTGGTTGGAGGACATTAAATCTGATGCCTCATGTCGACATAGCACCATGCTCCCTGCACGTTAAGAACCCTTGTAACATTTCTTTGAGGGGTCCGTAAATGGAATGTTGCAAACCACAATTTCAGTCCCAATTCACTTTACCCTCATTTTCCAATGACAGTTAATGTATCCCGACTTTAACCCCAGACGGCCTCTACTTCAGGACTTCGGGACCTTCCTATGGTCTTTATTGTTAATTTGTTATCTCTGAAATTGAAATAGTGAGCCACTGGACTTTTAGCAACGAACAATCAATCATTTACGTATATGCCACATTGTTTAATTATTTTTTTTTGTATCGTTGAGTAGCAACCTGATACATCTGTTGTTATTATTTATTTCGTTACAGTACTGTGCCATTAATTTATATGATACATCACTGCCAAAGGTGACTGGGAAGTAGAGATATGATTACCATTGGTCTTCCCCCGAACGGCAGTGGAACCCTCGCCTATGTGGGGCGTCCGTTTGGCTGTGCCGGATGATCTAGTATGCAACCACGATCGGTCAGAGCGGGGACGTTAAATCCGATGTCTCGTGTTGAGAGAATGCCACGCTCTTTGCACCTTAAGAACATCTCAACAAATCTTTGGGAGGTCAGTAGGTAGCCTATTGCAAGGCCAAATTTATGTCCCTATCAAATACACCCTCATTTTCCAGTGGCAGTACGAATTTCCCCGACCTTGGCTTCTTTTATAAGACCTATCTATTGTATTTATTGTTAACTTGTTCTCGTCCTGAGCATGCATGTAATGTTTGCCATTGGACGTTAAGCAGCCAACAATCAATCAATTATGTGATACATGCTATGTTAGGAAATGTCCCGTTAACCTATTCCACATTTGTTCATATTCTTTGGAGTTATGTTTGATTGACGTTTATGCCACACTTTCTTTAGTGATTCTGTCTTAAAGGTTGCATATCATATGCTATACCTTTTTTATTATCTGCGTCTCAATAACGAATATTCCACATCTAATTTTTCTGTTTGAGTACTGTGTCCTTGGCGTATATGACACGTCACCAGTGTCTGAGCAGAAAGTTGATGAACCAGGGGTATATAAAAGAACGTCTTGTCATTTTTCTAAACAAGTTCTTCGGAAGGTACCAAGACCTTGTTGATAAATATTCATTATCAACTTCACAAATAATACACGATGGTCTTGTAGTATAGATTCTGGGTACTGACGTTGTTTATCATCTTAATAACATGTTATACTATTCTTTTATTTGTCTTTATGAATATACTGTTCAGTCTGTTTTTATTGATATCCATTTGACGTGGCTCGGTACTTGTACATCTCGTCATTGTGTTATTGTAAATCATTTTTGTATCCTTGTCTTTCATTTTTGCTAATGTGCTTTGTCTATATGCCTTTTTATGTTTGTTTGATACATATATGACGTGGCTCTGTACTTATACATCCCGTCATTGTACCATGGTAAATTTGTGTATTCTTGACTTCAATTTTTGCTAATATGCTTGGTCTATATGTCATTTTGTACTTCTTTGTTTATACATATTTGATTGTTTTTATAGTGATTAAGATTATAACACAATGTTGACTGCTGTACCCCTGTTTTTGACCTTTTTCCTATTATGTCTGTTTGTTTTGTTCAGACATCGTTATCAATATAATGGAATTTGATGCGACTGTCATACAATTGAGAGGTTTAGCTAGCTTTAAAACCAGGTTTAATCCACCATTTTCTACATAAGAAAATGCCTGTACCAAGTCAGGAATATCACAGTTGTTATCCATTCGTTTGATGTGTTTGAGCTTTTGATTTTTCCATTTGATTAGGGACTTTCCTTTTTGAATTTTCCTCGTAGTTCAGTATTTTTGTGATTTTACTTTTTATGTTCCTTTGTGTCGTTTGGTTACTGTCTCATTCATATATGTCACATTTGTTGTTATATGTCCTTGGAAAAATGCATCATTGGTGTAGTTTTTTTTAATTATTTGTGAGGACGTGAAAAATTAATGGTTGGTTCCAGTGAAAAAATAATCGTGCAGTTGTTAAAATATATTCATATTTAGGAACAGACGAATAAAAAAATTGATGTACATTAAAGTCTACAGAAACAAGAAATGATTGTAACAGGATGCTGTTACGAAGTCTCCCAAACGAAGCTCCTATAATTCGTAATTCCCAGGGTCGCCTGACATTGGGCAAAGTCCAGTGAAAATTTGTTTGGTCCAGTAAAGTTATATGCATTAGTGATACATGGGGACTAACCCTGTATATCATTCAAATCATCTTGGCATGACAATCCAGAATATATATGGTTTAGGGGTGGGGATCTCGACCATTTACAAGATATTAGAACTTTCTCAAATGGCAGGGGGTCGGGATGACCCCTGGGGACTAACCCTGTATATCATTCAAACCATCTTCGCATGACAAACCAGAATATATATGGTTTAGGGGATCTTTACCACTTACAAGATATTAGAACTTTCTTAAATGGCAGGGGGTGGGGTGACCCCTGGGGACTAACCCTGTATTTCATTTGATGTGCTTTATCATGACAATCCAGAATATATATGGTTTAGGGATGGGGATCTCGGCAATTTACAAGATATTAGAACTTTCTCAAATGGCAGGGGGTCGGGATGACCCCTGGGGACTTACCCTGTATATCATTCAAACCATCTTTGCATGACAAACCAGAATATATATGGTTTAGGGATGGGGATCTTGACCACTTACAAGATATTAGAACTTTCTTAAATGGCAGGGGGTGGGGTGACCCCTGGGGACTAACCCTGTATTTCATTTAATGTGCTTTATCATTTAGAACATTTTCAATTAAAAGATTGTGTCTATCACAAACGGTTTTCAATTTATAATCATTTGAAAATTTTAAAAAATAAAATCCCATAGGGTTCTATAGTAAAACCATCCTTTCTTTCTGCCCCTCAAAGTATCCCTTTATAAACCCCATTGCACAAACAAAACCCTGATTGCACCACTAGACATGTTAGTCTAACATATTGTGAAACCCTGACAAGCGGTTTTGGAGAACGGGTGCGGACAAGTTCAAATTTAAAAGCGGCGGAAGAAGAAGAAGAATGATAATAATAATAATAATAATAATAATAATAATAATAATAACTGAGCAAGAACAATAAGTCTTCCCAAACTTCGTTTGGGAGACTTAATAAACTAGAAGTGGGGCGGAGTTGCTGTTATTTCGGAGGATATAAACAGCAGAATACAAGTGACACATAAATATTCAAAAATTGTTCTATTTTTCTAAACATTCGTATAGAATCGTTTTATACCGAGGACAAATTAAGATATAGGACATAGATAAATAAGAAAATTCAAAGAATAATCTTTATTGTAAAAAGTCAAATCCCCACAGGTTACAATGCAAAAATTATTATTACATAAAAAGCATAAAACACATGAAATAAAGTTCTGAACGAGGCAAGTTAATTATGTGCAAATGGGTTTCAAAAAGATGCTCTGAAATATATTTTCAGTTTTAACCATCACAACCCAACCGGCAAAAAGAAATAAACCAAGAACAACATGTCTTTAGCCTAAGCAAACTTTCTCTGAAATTTCACATATATATAGGTGTCAGACCACCAATTCACTCCCTCTAATTTAAAACGTAAAAGTAGCCCTACTCTGACACAAAATAGTGCTTTTGATGTCATTGTTGACCTAACCAACAAATTTGCAGAAATAAAATGTTTAGTGAAAGAGTTGTTTTGTTGTCGCAAATTAAATTTAAGCGGTGATCATATTTAGATCATTTTGGGCCAAAATTTACTAATTTATATCTTATATTGAACTTTTTAGAAATCATTGTAGTAATTCCATAAAATAAATCATAATTGATTAATTGTAATTTGTATTCGGTAGATAACACACAAATACATACAATCCATTTCGAATTACTCAATGCAATAACTATGCGCCTTGAACGCATGATACGCCCGTCGTCTTGTGTGTGAATTTTTATGCAATAATCATAAATAGTTTCTGACATACGGCGCGACATGCGAACCCCCCTCCCCCTTTTTTTTTTACAAAAAACTCAATATCTCTAAAATAAAATTTTGAATCAAAACCAAAAAGCATACAGATCTTTAGATTACTATAACTAAGAAGTGTGTAAAATTTTAAACAAAAATCATAAATCGTTTTTGAGAAACGGCGCGACAAGTGAAATCCCCCTTTAAAAAAAAAAACCAATATCTCTAAAACAAAACTTTGAATCAAAACCAAAAACTATACAGATCTTTAGATTAATATGACTAAGAAGTGTGTAAAATTGTAAGCAATAATCATAAATCGTTTTGAGATACGGCGCGACATGTAAAAAACCCCTCCCCCTTATTTTACAAAATACTCAATAACTCAAAAATAAAATTTTGAATCAGCACCAAAAAGTATACAGATCTTAAGATTAATATTACTAAAAAGTGTGTAAAGTTTTAAGCAATAATCATAAATTGTTTTTGAGATACGGCACGACATGTGAAAAAAAAACATACACCTGTTTTAGTTACTAAGTCCCGAAACTCAAAACGTTTTAATCTTATTTTCACCAAAAAGTATACAGATCGTTTGACCATCATAAGAAACAACTATGTTAAGTTTCATGAAATTTGGATAAGTCGTTCTCAAGTTACGGTGCGACATGTTTACGCGCAGTACGCCGGACAGACAGACGGACAGACGACATTTGTGTACCATAATACGTCCCGTCAAAATTTTGACGGGCGTATAAAAACAACTCTGAATTCGAATAAACTTATTAATGTTCATTTATGTTTGTTTCGTTTTTACGTACAAAAAGTTAACCTTTCCGTCATTCATATAACAACCTTTCCGTCATTTATATTACAACATTTCCTTCATTTATATTACAAACATGCAGAATATTTTCTTGTTTGTTAAAATAAATTCCAAACAAGAACAGTTTTTCTTATTCGGATTTCTTATTTTTTTTATTTTCCATATTGAAATATTTATGGAACAAATGAATGTTTCAATGTTTGAAAAAATGCGTAAAAGTAATATTCGAACAACATTAATGAAATACAAAAGCCGAGGAAAATTCAAGTTACATTTTTCAAAAACAATTATAATCTTTCTGTAATTTTGTTTTCAATTAAGTTAGATAGATAGTAAAGAAAACAAAAATAAATAAAAGTTATTTTGAATGACTAAATACACAAACAGATCCGAGTCCGAATGAACTCATTGTCTGAAAGAATTATTCATGTTTATTTTCGTTCTTTCTTACGTCAAACATAGAAGCATCAAAATCATTACTTACAAGCAGAATTTTATCTTTTTTGTCAAAATAAATTCCCCACGACTTGTTCAATCCATCTGATTTAGTAAGAATTTCTTTGTGATGTTGACCATCATCTGATACAACTACTACAGTGTTCGTGTTATAATTAGCCACATATACATTCCCCTCATTATCTGTTGTCACACGACGTAAATCTTTAAATGTATCCTTTTTAAACTTCCAAATTGGTGTTCCATAAAACGAGCAGTTGTATATTGATGTCTCGTCTATACAAACCAACCTGTTTCTGTCTACTGTAATGTCGAAAATACGGTGTGAAGGTAAAGGTATAGTACGTATTACTTTACCTGTCAGGTCCATCACATGTATTATACTCCTACCAATAACAACGTACAGGTTATTATCATTATATGATATTCCGTAGCAGTCACCACGGATGTTGATTGTACTGGTGACAGAACCTGTAGATATATTTATTATCAGTATGGTTTTGTCAGGTGTACAGGATACTGCTACAGTGTTACTATTTACCACTGTCATATAATATGGTGTATAGGACAGAGAAATGTGATGGATATCAGTACCGTCTGAATTACAAATAATAAGTCGGTAATTATAAAAGTCGGTAAACACTAATGTATTGCCTGTTTTGATACAGCTAGTAATGGCCAGACTTTTATTCTTTGACTTTTTGATATTTAACTGTTGACGCAAAATGACAGAAACAGGAAGGTTGGTTTTGACAGATGATTGATCCTGAACGAATGCTTCTTCTTTGTTTGGTTCAGTTTCTGAAATAAATAATCAAGTATTGATTTGGTTATTTCAACAATTGATTTCTTAATCTATAATGCAGTTTACCGCTAAAAGTGATTGAATGATTCACTTTGAACAAATCCAGCTCAGCATGATTCGACAACAGCGTATAATCAAAGGAAAATAGAAAAAGTTTATACATGACAGACACTGAAAAACATAAATGTGTAGAGTATACATGTAGTATTGTACTGGACATACCAATGCAGTGGGAGAAGATATTTTTTTGACATACCGATTCAAAATCATGTGCAAGATGAAAAAAAAATGAATGTTTATGCTTCCCTTGTCCCTATCCCGGGGGAAAGGATTTCTTTCTATATGAATGTATACACATACGTGTCAAATATATTAGCGAGTTGCCATTTCACTTAGGTAAAATGTGAATAGATCAATATATTTTATCTTTCGATTGAAAATCTGTATAAATGTTTTTATCGCTTTTAAATACAGTTAAGATTTATAAAAAATACACTGATAAATAAGAAATATTTGAACGGGTTATTAATTTGTCCTGAAATATATTATATTCCTTCGCCGTGTTTTTCACAATACTTCAATATATGAATGGTTTTTTGAAATACCAGCTGCGCTGCACGTCTGTACCCACAATGCCATGTTGATACCCCCCGCAGTGGTCCTTACTAAATCGAACTTTATTGAGGATATGGTGTTTTTGTAAAGAAAACAAGCATCCGAATTTAATGAATAAAGTAAAACCACACCGGCAGAGTTGGCTAGTAGAGCGGTTTTTTACGATAGGAATTTTAAATTGTCTCACTTTACAGAAATTGCAGTTTAAATGTAGTCTTAATTTGTTCTCGTCTGGAAAATGATTAAAAATTTTGCCACTGAACGTAAAGCATACAACAATTAATCAATTGATCTTTTATTAGCTTAACAGTCAGAAAACATATTTCGACGGATTGTTGTGGCCCATGTTTAGTTTCATTAAAAATATTCTTCATGAATAAAACTGATTTTTTGTATGATAGGGGTAAAAATTAATATTATGATTATGCACATCTTAGTACAAAAGTATCTCGTATGGAGCAAGTTTTTGAAAGAGAGTCCCCTAGTAACCACGATAGAGAAATAGGTAAAAGTCTTCGTTTAAGGACTAAGGCTCAATGGGCTTCACGTAGATCTGTTGGTTGCATAAATACGCATTTTAGACGTTCAATATGAAATAGGGTAATAGCACGCTTTCTACAGCTTTACATTACAATGTGTATGGGATTGCCTATCCGATGCAAAATTGTTGACCCTATGTAACATGTCTTCGTTTTTGAGGTAGTCAAATTCCAAAATACCCCGTCCTTTCTGCCAGCTGAAGACCATTATTTTTTTTTCCAAAATTGTGGTCTTTGTGGTCTTTTTATTTAAACCACTCTGTCGTTGTCGCCGATTGTTATGTTATTTGTTAACTCAATAGATGAAATACAATTTATCAAGAATTTTTGATGAAAATGTTTTCTATTGGATTATATGCAAATTTTGGTTTAACCTGGAAATCAAATATCTTAAATCCACAAAAATTGGTACCCACGAAAATAAATAATCCACAGTATTCATTTAGACTCCCCCCAAGGGGTGACTGAGGAATAGAAATATGGCCTCCATTGGTCTTCCTCCGACCGGCAATAAAACCCTCGTCAAAGTGGGGCGTTAGTTTAGCTGTGCGGGATTTTTCAAGTACGCAGCCACGTCCGGGTATAATGGAGACGTGAAATCCGATGTCTCGCGTAAAGAGAATGCCAAGTTCTTTGCACGTTAACAACCCTTGCATCAACTCTTTGAGCGGTCCGTAGGTGGCCTGTTGCAAGGCTAAATTTCTATCCCTATCCAGTATACCCTCATTTTCCCGTGGCAGTCCTAATTTCACTGACCTTCATCCCGGACGACCTATATTACAGGACCTACCTAATGTATTTATTGTAAATTTATTCTCTCCCTGAACATGTAGGAAATAATTGCCACTGGACGCTAAGCAACCAACAATCAATCATTATGACTCAATCTTAAATGTTCAAGATAAAATTTATTTGAGGTTTAAATTACATAAGAAAGAAATGGAAAACAGGACTTACCAAAACTCTTTGAGGGGTCCGAAGGTGAGGTTTGTAAGGCAACATTTCTGTCCTTATCTTAATAAACACTCATTTCCCAGTAGCAGTCAAAATTCTCCCGACATTCATGCCAAATGGCCTCTATTACAGGACATACCTATTGCATTTTTTAATAAATTGTCACGAAACCTGCACGAAATATTTGCCACTGGACATTACGCAACCAAAAAGCAATTAATCAACTTTGTCCGAGAGAGATGCAATCTTTGTAATTTAGGTTAAAACATGTCGTATAAATCACCTCCTACTCTCTGCAACACTGATATCAACTCAGTGCAGGTCTTGACAAATTACTAATGTATGAAGTGCTTATCTTTCTATCCGTTCATGTTAAAGCATATCACAAATGTACTGATAACTAAGAAATATATGTGGGATATATAAATACGAATCCACGTCAGTTCATTTGATGTCTTCCTAGGGAGCCCCCAACTAAAAACGATTGAGAAATTGGTTCAAGAACCGTTTAAAAATCAAGGTGTCGCCTTTTGCGGTTTTCACGTAGGTCTGCGGAATGTATAAGTACGCATCCACGTCAGATCAGAATTGGGGACGTTGAATATGATGTCAGGTAATGACACGCTTTCGACAGCTAAATATTAAAACGTGTTGAGGGTTGCCTATCCGAAGCAAAATTGTTGACCCTATGTAACATGTCTGTGTATTTGGGTTGTCATAATCCCAAATACCCCGTCCTTCAGACCAGCTGAAGATTAATAAATGTGTTCCCAAATTGTGTTTTATGTGGTCCTTTTAATTAAATCAATTAATCGTTGTCGCCGACTGTAATGTTATTTGGTAACTCATAGATGACATGCAATACAACAGGACTTTCAGATGAAGATGTTTTCTATTGGTTTATTTTACAGGTAACTTTTATTGATGTTGATCTAAAACGGTCATTTTTTTATGAACAGCTTCAATAAATTGTTAAGTCATTTTCAGACTTCTCCACTGCGGTAAAGTAAGCACTGTTCAGACAGTTCACTTGCAGATAACAATGTGTTCAGATGCTTTAAATTACCGGTACTTATCAACATCATTTGTCTGAGAAGCTTCTGAACAGTAAATAATTGACAGCAAAAAGTCAAGTTTCAACTTTTTATTTTTCAAAGACATTAAAAGGGCATAATAACCATATAACAAATCCATTAATATTCATAATATACCAAAGTAATAAAGTGATGCATTGAATAGGACTTTGGAAATTCATACGTATTCAATTAGTTGTACATCCTTTGCCTTCAATGTTTTAAAAAGGTTTCAGCAGTCCATGTGAAGTAAATCAAAGATATTAGACGCACAAAAGTGCATATGTTTTAATTTCGTACTACGTTAGACTATCTGGACTTTTGTATTGTTGTTTATACGCTTACTTATTACAGGAGTCTGCTGGTTGTTTTGGTCTGCTTAACTTATATTTTGATATTTTGCAGTCCATTTCATTCTATATTAACTTTTTTGGACAGTCCTTTTTCTCTTTGACACATACAAAAAAGCTACTGTTTTACTGTATCTTCTTATTATCGTTTCATTATATCATGCTTTTAAAAAGTTTGGTTTATGGAGCTTCCAAGCCACAGGTTGTGCACAGTTGACAATGTTTTCTATATATTATTCATAGCAAAAGCAATTGTGTGTGGTAAAAAAATAAATGTATGCTAGAAAGGCAAAATAGTTTAATTTACTACAATCCTTTTAAACACAGATTGTCCTGAAAAAATGCATGAAATATTTACCACTGGATGTTAGGCAAACAACAATCTCTTTGAAAGTTAGGTTATCTGAGTTGTAGCCCCTTATATATCTAAGTCGAAACAAAAATGAAACAAACAAATGAATTGTATTTGTAAAAACAGACTTGACAGATTTGTTTCTGGTTATTTTACAATCCTAAACACCCGATCTACGCTAAGCGTTTTACATTTTCGAAGTCCTATTACATAACATTATGAAAGGATTCTGTCTTTCTTACTTTCAAACAATTAAGTTTAATAATCGTGTTCCCTTTGGTCTTCAATCCGTGCGTCATTACTTTGACTTCTAGACATAACTATTATTTCGAATAATGTCCAATTATTAACTGAACATAGAAAATCAACATGTTGGCAAACACAGAGATTGAGTATTTATCGACAGTTTTGATTAAAATGATTTCAAATTATTATTTACATACAAAACATTATGTATTAAAGGTTAAATTTAAATAATAATTCTACAAAAAGAGAAAACAACTGTTTTTGTGGTACTTAATGTAAAAAAATGTGTAAACTTTATACAACAGTGATAACATCTGAATTGATCAGGGTTCAAGGGGAAAAAATGTGTAATTATTAGATATGTATTTATTTAGGTGCTTGATTTCTTTAATGTATTGTTGACTTATTTTATTTTAAATTCTACTATTTACATTAATATTTTTGGCAAACATCCTTTTAAAATTTGTACATTTGCTTATTAAATGCATGATTTTTTATGGTGTACAAATTTGAATAAGTTTCTCACAGACATTTTTCGAATCCGTTAAAAAATATGGATGGATAATTAAAAATAATATGTTGAAGAATCATAAATTAAATAGTTCATATATTTTACAGTACTTACCGTATGCTAATGACAACAGGAAAACCGATTTAACTGCTTCAATTCGATATTCATCTGCAAAATACGATATACAGTTAATGAAGGTGTTTTGTATTTTACGACAGTTTCAATGTCGATTCAATGTATAATTTTATGACCAAACAGGGTAATTTTAACTGACAGTTGGGTTCATGAACTTTTTCTCAACTCAATGTTTTATTTAGTGATTGTTTTCTATGTTCAATTGTTCAATTATAATAAAACACGTTCCTAAAGATTCTGATGAGCAACATAAACGTTATTATCATCTAAACTTTCATACGTTTTCTTACATGTATCCTTTTTTACTCATATCTTGTTCATTGAAATATATCCAATATCTGTTCTGAACAGCAGTGACAGCCATTTTTAAATGTCGTTTTTATCATTAACCATTATTATGAAGGAAGATAAACAAGAAGCATGAAGCAAAAGTTATGGTGACGACATTTCTGAAAAAAGATATCAAATGCCCGTTTGTTAGCTATTGACATTTACAAGATATAAATTATTTTGAGGATGTTTTCACCTTTTTCAGGGAAAAACTCTTTGGTTGATATATACGGCACGGTCGTGCAGGTACAAACTATTCGGACTCCACTAACAGGGGTTTGCTCCTTACTAAAACATTTTACAACAACATGATGTCGCATTACAGTGGACAGACATTTAATTATTCGTGTGATTATTATAATAATCAGGTATTAAATCGCTAGGAATATTTTGTTCCGCAAGTTATCCAAAAGGTATTTTGGTACGTGACTTCAAACTAAATTGACAACCTATTCAAAACCTTTTTTCTAAATAGAGATATCTCTCCAAAAGCATTTTTTCTAAGTGCACATTTTTCATAAACGTAAAAGATATAAATATAACGTGTTTGTATCCCATGAAATATTTATTCAGTTTTAACTGATTTGTTTAATTAATTCTTTCACGAATCGTTACAATCAACATAGAATTTAGAATATGTTTTAAGTTTTGGCCAACATGACATCTACATGAATTTTTTGTAAATGACTTATGCTAAAATTCATGATTGATTGAATGTCCAGTAGCAAATATTTCAGGACGAGAATAGATTGCAATACATACAATAGGTAAATACTGTTATAGGGGGTCAACCGGGATTGACAGGCGGGAAATAAGGACTGCCACTGAAGCTCACAGTCGATTTAACTTTTTGTTATAACGCCCCATACTTTTATCTTTGGAAAACCTATTTTGTTATTATTTGACTTTTCTTTGCCAATTTAAAATAACTGATTTTCCATGGATATCTTAAGGATATTTTCACATGTAAAACAGAGGCGGAAGAAACATGTACTAAAGTTATATTCAAACACATTAGTCGTAGACAAACCGACAACCCCATCACGGACCGTAATTTGTAATATGTGAACAAAACAAGCGTATGGCATACCTTACAATTTTAACTTGGAATTTTTGGTGAGTTTTATTGTAATTTTAAAATATATTGACCAACTTCATTTTAACAGTTTACCACTTATTTGGTCAATAATGATCGTCGGGATGAGACGATTGCGTACATGCGTTATCCTCCCTTCACTATTTTACCAAGTGGTTTGTTTACGTTACTTCTTTGTATATTGTTAAATAATGAGGGATACTAAAACTTATAGTATGTACAATTGGCCAAAAACAATCATCTATCTATAGAATTTATTATACCTCGAATGTATACAACGAAAATAACACTAACTAAATTAAATGCGTCCGAAGCGCTTTTTAAGATTTACTTTCATTACGAACGTTCAAAACCAAAATTTTGAAAGTCAAGGATTTATTATTGATGTATTGATATCAGCTTCAAAGTGTTAGTATTATAAAACCATGAGGTCTGCCAAAAGTTACTATGTGCATACAATAGTGGTACAAAATCAAGTGAAAAGATTAAAATTTAGATTTAAAAAAAATGAAAGTACCATAAGTTTTCAATTGAAGGTAACAAAGTCTTTCTTTGATTGTGGTAATATGGTCAGCATAGATGGTCCGAGTACACAGTTATTTCGTAGTGCATTTCTTTTAGACAATAAATGAAAATTAAAAAAATCCTACCTGCGCTTTCTCAATAATATTTTTACAGTGTGTTGTACTACTTTTGGGACAAATTATATCAAAATTATAGAAAACTTCATCAGCTCTAACTCAAAATATGGACAATTTTATGTTAAGGGGGTCTTGAAATCTTTTGACAGCTGTCGAAGTGCTTATTTTTAACCTTTTTCAGCTGGACCAAATCACTACTTTACTTTAAAATTCATGACCCAAATTTTTTTAAAGTGTAATTTCATCCCCCTACTTGCTATTTGAGGCATAAAACATGGAGAAATAAATTTGGAAGGGGTATAAAAAAAATTGGCAAGTAACACACTGTCCACACTAGGGACTATATTTGTGGACAACGAGGACGATAACTGTGTACGACCTAATAGGATAGAAAAAGTTGACCAATCTTAACAAAACTTGGTATGACCAAAGCTTAATAAATTATGAGACTGCTTACAAAGTTTCATGGCAATAAGATATATATTATAGACAATATGATAAATTCTATATTCAACTTTGCGTGTTAAATTTTGACGTTAAAATTGAAAAATTTCAACTATCAACATTTGGGGCTTTTAAAATTAAAATATTGCAAAAAAATACTTTTAAAATGCCTTAATATATGACATATCATGTATTCAAAGCAATAGAGTACTCAATTGATATGTCAGACTTAGCATAATTATTCAAAAGTCAAATTTACATGAGCCTGTGCCTAAAAATGGAGGTTTTCCAATGAAGGGGGGCCTTACATGAAGATGTAATATTTTCCAGCAATTTTAAATTTGTGGAGCTTTTTGGTTATAAATAATCCTTACATATGTATTTAATGTACTTTAAATGGAAAGAAAACTTACAAATAACATATCATATTAGTTTAAAAGGGTCTTAGGCCAAGTAAGACTGAAAATAATTTAGGGTCAATTTAGGCCGTAGCACATATTTACATTTAAAAATGCATATTGAAGCTATAGGAAATAAAAAAGTGTGTCTTTTCTATCATTTCTATACTCAGGTGACATGATACAATAAATCTGAGCACAAAAAGACTCTTGCATTCAACATTTTTTGCAGACAGTATGGTCTGATACAAAGATTTTTCACTTTTTAGTGAAAAACTTGCAGGCAATTTTAGTCTCAACAGGCTTATATTTGAACCACTTGCTATCCTACAGAAGAAAAGAAAGATATTATGTGAAATGAAACAGGTACAAAAGACATTGTTAAGTGCTTTTTATACAAATTTAGTGAGGTCTTTATTATGGACTTCAACTTTTATGTACAAAGCTCCTCGCATTTAACTTGATCCAAACAGGGCGTTAGACAAGGGTCATTTATACAACACATTTTACACATATTGTCTGAGATAATCTTCTTTTCTGTAGATTCAGAGTTCACAAATGAGTAATACAACTGGATTAAAGCATAGAAACACAAATATTTTTACATGAAAACCTGTCATATAGAAAGTCAGAATGCCACTTATGCATCAAAATTGCAAAAGCTATGAAATGCTTATTTTGACCATATAATGCCAAAATTGGTCAATTTTGCAGAAATTCTATCAAATAAAAGTTTAAATCCTTTAGTTTCATGCTATTTGACAAATTGACACCATCAAATCATTCAGGGAAGTTGCCAAAGTACACATTCTATATTTTCTGATTTCACCTCAGCTGGACCAAATCACTACTTTACTTTAAAATTCATGACCTAAATTTTTTTACAGTGTAATTTCATCCCCCTACTTGCTATTTGAGGCATAAAACATGGAGAAATAAATTTGGAAGGGGTATAAAACAAATTGGCAAGTAACACACTGTCCACACTAGGGACTATATTTGTGGACAACGAAAATCAAAGGACGATAACTGTGTACTCGGACCAGATGGCAAATGTGGTCAACAAATTCTTACGGAGTATAATACAAACATTAAAGGAGCATTACATTGTAGCTATAGAAAAAATAAAATATGATTTATTTTTGTTCAATCATTAATGAAAGTGAAATAGTGATATAATAATTCGGTTTTAGCAGCCAGTTTAGTTCAGTTTTGTCAAAATGAGCAAAGAAACATCGCTAATGAATTATTCACTTGCAAGTGAATAGTTCGACTTTATTAAATCCGAATTCATATGAATTCAATTGAACTCCTATGATAGAGATGGGTTACGCAGTAACTATGCGTGTTCGGCTATTAAAAAGAAATTTGGAATTGAAACAAGGGCAAACCATTTGGTTGACTGAATCAATCCACCTCATTATAATACAGGTAGAAACGATGATTAACATATTTGTTTAAATTAGAATATGAAAACAAACATGAAATTCTGTATGTATGTGCCTGTCCCAAGTCAGGAACCTGTAATTCAGTGGTTGTCGTTTTTTGCTGTGTTACATATTTGTTTTTCGTATATTATTTTGTAAATACATTAGGTTGGTTTTTTTGTTCTCGTTTGAATTGTTTTACATTTGTCATTTCGGGGCCTTTTTAGCTGACTATACAGTATGGGCTTTGCTCATTGTTGAAGATCGTACGGTGACCTATAGTTTATAATTTCTCTGTCATTTTGTGTCTTATGAAGAGGTGTTTCATTGACGATTATAAAACTTCTTCTTTTTATAAGACCTAGAACAGTCAAATTGCACGTGTTTGTTATCTATGTATACTTATATTTTAGTTTATATCGTGTTATAAGACCGTCGTCAGTCTTCGGAGGTCACCTCGATGAGTAATCAGATGGCATCTAGACTAAAAAACACACGAATTGCCGATACAAATTATTGAGTTGGAGCATCGTAAATTGTTTATTTCAGACTTTTTATAATTTTCAAATTCTTGTTTAATTTTGTTCTAATTTCTTTTAATCTAGTTACGGTGGAAACTTACAAAATGCAACGCAAAACAAGTAATCCGGTTTTCAAATAACTTGATATTTATTGATTGATCCTTTCTGTATCAGGTTAAAACTTACTGGTCGGAAGATGGTTTATGTTGTATTTGAAGTTGTCAAACTCAATGATCTTTATTGTCCGTGATACATTTAATCTATAAAAAAAACCACGAACACATGGTTATTGTCGTATAGTTTTGTTCAGATCAAATAAGATAAATACCCATAAAACATATATAGTAATAAATTCAAATATAATTAAGTATACAACTCCCTAAAGCAAAGTTACCGCTAGAAGAATTTGACTTTTTTTATCGACGTTTCTTTAATGAATTACACAAAGGTTACAGGAAGTAGCTTTTGAAATTTCAGCAACTGATGGTTGTGCTACTTCATCCATCTGGTAGTTGTGTGAAACATTCAAACTTGTGAAAAGATATTCATTTGCGCATCATGACAACTAGGATTTTAATTAATTATCCGAGACATGATACATATGTATAGCTACACTCAAGTTACAGAACATCTCAAAGAAATATAATTTGAAAGATAAACAAACACTTACATATCTTCTGTGTAAAGACTTCTTGACATTTTTATGTCATCATAACATTTGATATCTGAAATACATAATTGAGAAGTTTGGTTTTCTAATAAAATGCTTTTCATTTTGTAAGCAGTATACACATGATCTTCTTTTTCGTCAGTTTTAATGGTCGGTATTTAACTAGTTTGCACAGTCTCAATAACCAGTATGTATGCAAATCTACTGAATTGATTTCATTACACAATAAAAGTGTATTGGTTATAAACATACAGGAGGTATTTGTTTCTTTAATATAAGATGTTATTACATTTACATTTGTGTGCAACTAATTCGTTTCTTAATAAAAAAAAGTGTGTAATGTTAATCAGAAAGACAGTCCGAGTCCTCAACAATAGACAGGAGTCTACACATTATGTCAAATTCTTAAGCGTCCCAAGCCTGTAAACAATTTGGAAAGATATAATAGTAAAAAGTTATATAAAAAAAAAAAGAACTGCATTGAAAAATCAAAACCGCATGTCCTTCATCAAAGGGAAAAATCAAAAGCTCAAACACATTAAACGAATGGAAAACAACTGTCATATTCCTAACTTGGTGCAGGCATTTCCTTATGTAGAAAATAGTGGATTAAACCTGGTTCTTTAGCTAGCTTAACTTCTCGCTTGTATGACAGTCGCATAAAATTCCATTATATTGACAACAATGTGTGAACAAAACAAACAGATGTAATAGGTAAAAATGTAAAAAAAAAAGGGGGTACAGCAGTAAACATAGTGTTATTTTCTTAAGATGGATTATCGGTATATATTTCCTCAAATAGATTTTCTTATACTTTGCCAAAATGAAGATTTAACTATGTTTTTTTCAAAAATATAATAAAAAGTATAGGTCGACCTGCTATTTTTCAAGCTATAAGTCGTGCAAAATTGCCCAAATTTGCATAGGTTGTTCATGGAAAAACAGATTTTTGTGCATACAAAAAAATCTATGAGATAGAATTTTGAAATAAAATATGAGAAGATAGGTTTTATAATATGCTTTAAGAAAATGAATAGAAAAAAAGGTGTCACCGAACTTGTTTCCTTACTACAAGTAAAACATTAAAATGTCCCTATCATTCCAGTATTGTTTTTTACTACTAATAGAGTCATCTACCCTTAAATGGCTATGTTGAAAAATTGATTCTAACAAAAAGTCGTACCAATAAATTGCAAATCTGTCTCCAAATTTGCAGAGTTAGGCAAAGAACAAGACCGATTGTGTACTGCGATTGTACAATCCAAGATGGCGGTATACCATAAATCTACCTTAATCACTATAAAAACGAACAAATATGTCAACAAAGAAAAACAAAATGGCATATAGACAAAGCACATAAGCAAAAATGAAAGACAAAGCATGGAAGCAAAATTGATAGACAAGATAACAAAATTTGAAATAACACAATGACGCGATGTTTAAGTACCGAGCCACGCCGAGAGATATAACAAAAAATGGACCAAACTGAACAGGTAATAATTAAAAAAGAATATGAAAAGAATACTATAACACGTTATTAAGATGATAAACAACGTCAGTACCTAGAATCTCTTCTTCAAGACCACCGTGTATTATTTGTGAAGTTGATCCGGAATAACAAAGTATTGGTATCATTCGATGGACTTTTTCTTAGAAAAAGGACCAGACGTTCTTTGCTAAATATGAGTATTTCGAATAATTAGGCAAGTAATAAACATTAAATGTGCATACAGTAAACGTATCAATAATAATTGATAGCAGGACAAAAGTGATGACTATTTGGCTACGAAATTCCGGGGGTCTAAACGTCTATCTGTGCCTGCAATGGAATAAACCCATTAGATAAAAAGAAACTCTTATTCTAAAAATATCCCTAACTTTAACCCCCTAAACCAGTTTGGATTTCTAGTGAACACGCTAAATAAAGTATTGATAGAATTTGAATCTGACTGAAAAGATAATTGTACTTTACCTTCCAGTCCAACCGTTTGGTTGTACGGATTTATTCCGAGAGAGCAGGAGCAATCTTCAGTTGAAGGATTGCAGTAACATAGGTTTTTTGAGTTCATGACTAAAATGTATCCTCTATCATTATTACAAATACATTGTCCGTCGATCGTAGTGTCGCCGTTTTCATACGTCACCTGACCTAGACTGTTGCAAAATGATTTTTGAAAGGTGCAGTCACTGTATCCAATTGTCTCAAAAATAATAGGCTGATATCTATTAGCACTACATGCTGCTCTGTTTAAGTTAGGTTGAAAGACGTATTTATAACCTGCAAAGAAAGTGCTTAATATACATGAATTTATGAATAAAGTTATTTTAGTTATATTCTGCTACATCCGTAATTTGTCAATTCCATTTTTTCAATTTTTTTTATATACAATGAAATTCATTTCTTTAATATTAACGGCTATTCTATTTAAGACAATTTCTGTTTATTATGTTTCAATCATTTCTTTTCTAAATGAAAATACAGTTATTGTTCAATATATTCGAAATAGTAGTTACTTCAATTCATTGTCTTATCAAGTTTTAAATATGCTATCATTTACAGGACAAACATAAAATAAAAAAATACATACCAGGACCTAAAATTCTAGGTCTGTAACATTTATCCCTGTATACATTTATTTGAAATTTTACGTCAAATAAGCAAGTATAATTTCTTGGAGTCTTACACATGGATTTTGCCCGAAGTTTCCAGTGTGCCTGCGATGGACAGGTGAAGTCAAATGCATCATTAAAGCATAACATCTACAAAATAGATAAATCCATATTCATCAATAGTTAAAGCAAAGTTAACCTTTACCGCGTCAACGTTTTATTTGTTCAACACACACACACCCGGGGTGTATGAGGATGTAAAACCTGTTGTTCAGTAGTTGTCGTTTGTTGCCGTGGTTCATAAGTAATTCTCGTTTTTCGTTTCTTTATATAGATTAGACCGTTGGTTTTCCTGTTTGAATGATTTTTACTAGCCATTGTTGGGGTTTTTTATAGCTTGCTGTTCGGTGTGAGCCAAGGCTCCTTGTTAAAGGCCATACTTTGACCTATAATGATTTACTTTTTACTAATTGTGACATGGATGAAGAGTTGTCTCATTGGCACTTAATCCACATCTTTTTATATCTTCTTATTTAGTTACGACAAGGCACGACTGACTTATGAAATTTGAGCATTGTTCAATTACTGCTACCTCTAATTTGAGTCCTTTTCAACACTCCATAATTTTCATTTGAATCAGAATACCGATATTGAAAGTGTTGTTATGCAGTTATTTGGGAAATTCTGCTCGAAATTTATCCCGGAAACCAAAAAAACTCTTATAGAAAAACTTTAAAGTTGCACAGTAGACATATACATATGAAATTGTTGTGAAGTTCGTTAAAATCATGGATGTTGAAATATACTTGCAAAGTTTATAACTGATTTTTTTTTAAAGCACACTGGAGGAATATTCCCATTGTCCAATGTGAAACAACAATTGGAACAATACCTACATGCTAAGAATTAATAAAAAAACAAAAAGGACAGGGAACATTCCATCTAACAGAAAGCACAACAGAAAACTTTATAACCAATAATATAGTTAACAACAAATATGTAGATATCGGCTATATATAGTACAATAAAAGGGTAATTTTCTCAGTTTTGTTTTACTGTAACTTGGTATAGACATAAATCTGATGCTTTATTCCAATTTATTGTTAACGTGTTCTCGTCCTGAACATGAATGACATTTTTGTCACTGGGCGTTAAGTAACCACTAATCAGTTATCAATCAATCTGTATTTTAGCACTTAAGCACCTCTTGTCTTCATTTTTTTCCGTGTTTCTCTAAGCTATAATATTTAGCCCATTATTCTCTACTCTGAAATACCCATCAGGACACTCATATTTTGTTATTAAAAAAGATTAATTTACATTTAGCTATGAAATATATCTTTAAAAAATGCAATAGTATTGTATAAATGATTATATATAAGACACTGACTAGTCATTGTTTTGTGGTCAGCATGATATTTTGTGTTACAATTCTTGGTTATCAAATAAACAAAGATGTGTATCATTTGTGTGAAAGACCAGTTTTAATTGATCAATTCCTATCATGAAAAATTTCAAATGTGTATCCTGTAATATTGGTCTAGTATACCAAAACAAAATATTTAATTAGCATGCAGCCTACATAAACGCCTTTAGAAATTAACATTACAGATAGTTGTAAATATTTACACACCCATCTTTACTGATTGCTAGGAAGGAATAATTTCGAACTATCAATCAAATTATGAGACAAAAAATCTTAAGCATTGGAAGAAATCAACTGTTGGTTATTTTAGAAATAGAATTGTGATGGCAACAAATGAGAATAAACTTATATGTGATTATTGATTGTGATTAAGTACACTCTCCTTAATATGAACATTAATTAACATGTACGCATTGCAGTGACAGAATATAGTTATTTTATTCAGCAAAATCATTGACATGGCTAAACGTTGATGTGTATTATTGAAATCTGCCTATATATTTGTATTATGTAGTATTATTGGAAGATATATTAAAAATTATATAGATGACGTGAAAGTGATCATCGGGTAATGACAGATATAGGTATGATACTTCAAATGCTAGTATCTGGTCTAACAGTTGTCTTTGATTGATTCATTGGTGATTGATTTACGCCGCATTAGCACAAAAAGGCTATGTCGCGGCGATAGTTGTCTTTGTGAATGTGTGTTAGACACTAATTCTTATATGATTTGCATATTAGGGAATATGTTTAATTGATTGGTCAAGAGGACTTCCCTTAGTGGCTCTTGTTTATTTTTCGATAAACGACGTTGACGAAACTATTTTTTGTTACCAAGGTAAACAAGATAACCCAAACTGGCTCAACATTAAATATAATTTTATGTTCACTTCGTGTTCATCGTTAATTTAAAAAATAAACACAAAACATTTTTTCATTTAAATGATAATACGATAATTTGTAGTTTATTAGTATTGTATAGTTTATCAGACAGCAATTTTCATTCCGTTAATAAAAAAATATATTCATGCGCCAGGCCAATTCAATGACTCAAATATACAATTGACGTGTGATAGAGGTTACGAGTGGGGAAATTAAATTTCTTATCTCCAAATTTAAAGAACTATAAGGATTAAACGCATTTTTAAAGGAATTTATTGGTGTTTAAACAGGACCAAGTGACTCACAAACCTATCGTAAGAGTCAGACAGACTGTTTTTGCTAATTCCCATGAAAAGGCATTTGATCCTCTAATAACTTTAATCATAATATTTATATTTGAGACAGTTCTTAATATCAGTTGTACGAACAAAAATAGTTAACCGACATTAAATCAGTCAACATAAATATTATACTACAACTGGATAAACAGGTGTGTTTTTATCGTGTTGGGTTATCCTGATTAAATTGATGAGACATTTAACCACAGAAATTTCATACATCAACACTTTTCTTTGTGGTAAGGCATGACAAAGTATCATGTCTCAGATATAAGTCTCCAACAAAAGAATAGTGTCTATAAAATAATGTTAATGTCATGTCAAAATTACTTAATCGTTAAACATTTATTACCAAAAACTATTTAAAAAATGTAAAATTGCTTTATAAATTATTTATCAGCTTAGTTGTAATCGTGGGAATTTGGAATATCATCTTCATTTGAAGAAATCCAACTGTTTGAATATGAAACTATATAATTTGAGTAATGGACTTTAGAATTAATGAGATAATATCGTCTGGAAAGCTGATGTATAAAATTAGTTATGTGCTGGAGTTAATAATATTTTGACTATTGAACGTATAATTCATTTAATCTTCTCTTTACTTATGTACCTTTACATCCAATTCTATTCTATAGTTAATTATATGAAACAAATAACTCAACAATAAACCTAAGTTTATTGACTAGCTCGCTGTTAGTATCTTCTAAGCTCTAGATTGTACTACAATAAGAGAAATAACGACATTGAATGTATACAAAGTACTATTTCTATCATATCTCAAAATATCAACATCTAAAACACACAAAGCACTGTCTCTTGGCCGATCATGGAAATCCAAATTTTCTCAATGCCACGCGATTCGAAGGACATCATTTACAAATTTCATGTCAAAGACATGCACAATTTTACTTACAATTTGCCCTAAAACTACAACTATTAATCAGACTTTGAAGACGCAATTTATATTATCCAAATCCTAGACATACCCTTTATACTATATATATATACATATATCGTTATAAAGAGTCCATGAAAAATTACCAAATTGAACATTCTTTATGCCGATTAAAAATTTGATGTACGAAAACTAGGCTTGAAGTGATAATCATTTAACTACCTATTTACCATTATAATTTGTGGAGCTAACAATTGATCCGCCTCGGTAATATAATAATATTTCACCAAAGAGACACTGATTACCGTTTTACTACGTGCCTTGGGAAATACCTCTTCTCTTTACATGCTTTATTTAAAAGCTAACAATTGGTAAATTTTTAATTAATAAAAAATTCCTAATTCAATCTCGAATACTTTCGACTTTACTCGTTACCTGTTTGTATGCATAATTTATCGTTCGTATTTTAATCTCATCTGATTGCTTGATATCTTGTCACTTCTGGCAAATTTTATATTCCCTTGTCATTCGAATTAGTTTACCAATCGATTCAACACGTTTCGTCAAATAATTTGGATCAACACAAACAATTACGCAAAAATAACGTCATTGTTTACATTTTTAACGTGTACACAGTGTACGCGTATCTATTTCTATTTTAGAATAGGTTCTTTACCAGTTTGATACTGGATAAAAAATGTTCTATTTATAAAATATCGAATAAATAAACTTTATTCATCAATTGATATCAATGAACTATAATATGTACAACTGCTCTTTGCGTTCTCTAATGAACTATCTATAACTATTCTACGTTAAATATATACAACTGGTACAAATGTATACTATTACAAATTTCATATGTATGGAGGGCTTGAAATGTCAATTTGCAATTAGATGAGGAACATTATTGGGGTAAAATAGCTAGACCTTCCCTGTCTATAAGTCTTCATAAAATTAGTCATTGAGTTAGTTATCATATAGATTCAAATTCCGTTCATAGGAGAGCTTGGTAATCTCTCTACACGATCATCGTATTTAACCTTCCCATTATGATTGGCACTGGCTGCGAAGTTGTACATCCCGCACAGTCAAACTGACGACCCCCTTCG